GCCTTGCTGGCATCTTTAACCGTGGTGGAATACAAATCATGTAAACTACCCTGTCTCAGCCAGACTCATGCATACAGCTCAGCAGCACCCAGTGCATTCGTGTGGCCACATGACCAACCTCCAGGGCTCTTTCCATTGCATTTTATTTTATTCTGTAGATGAGGTCCCATTCTCTCACCCAGGCTGGAGTGCAGTGGTGCGATCACAGCTCACTGCAGCCTCCACTCCTGGGCTCAAATGATCCTCCTGCCTCAGCCTCCCAAGTAGATGGGATTACAGGTGCCCACCACCACACCCAGCCACTTTAAAAGGTTTTTTTTAGAAATGGGAGGTCTCACTATGTTGTCCAGGCTGGTCTCAAACTCCTGGCCTTAAGCGATCCTCCCACCTTGACCTCCTAAAGTGCTGAGATTACAGGCGTGTGCCACCGTGCCTGGCCTTCCTTGGTTTTAATTCGCTTAAACTCAAAGAGCTGCACACAGAGAGTGGCCACCCTACTGGCCTGCCCAAGGAGGTCCTGATCTCTGTTGGGGGTCCCCCATCCCCCACAATCCCAAGAGCTTCCCCTTGCCCCCAGGACGTGAGCGCGGAGCAGAGCCTGGAGCAGCCGGAGCTGTACTTGGCGGGGCAGAAGGATGAGCTCTTCAACTACTGGGTCTTCGTCCAAGCCATCGCCCACGGCGTGGCCACCTCTCTGGTCAACTTCTTCATGACGCTGTGGATCAGCCGTGACACGGCGGGACCTGCCAGCTTCAGCGACCACCAGTCCTTTGCGGTCGTGGTGGCCTTGTCCGGCCTGCTGTCCATCACCATGGAGGTGGGCAAGGTCCTCACCTCCCCGGGGCCTTGGACACGGCCTATGGAGGCCTCCTCCCCCGGGGACCACTGCTTTGGGGGCCTTGCTGGGTGCCCTCCCTGGACCCTAGGGGCGGGTGTCCTGGTGCAAGCTCTGCCGGGCTCCGGATTTACCCCATGCTGCCTGTCCAGGTCATTCTTATCATCAAGTACTGGACTGTCCTGTGCGTGGTGACCATCGTTCTCAGCCTGGGTTTCTACGCCATCATGACCACCATCACCCAGAGCTTATGGCTCTTCAGAGTATCCCCCAAGACCTTCCCGTTTCTGTGTGAGCCCCCGTGGGGAAGTGTGATGGGCGGTCGTGGTGCCGGGGGTCCCTGATGGAAGAGGTGGCAGGTTGCTCATGACAGTCGTCCGGCAAAGCGTCCCGGGGAACGGACTCCTTTATAAACCAGGCACAAAGGCACCAGGGCGCTCCGTGGCCTGGGGGCATCTTCGGGGCTGGGGGCAGAGAAGGCGGCACAGGCTCCCAGCAGGCTCTGCTGTGACCCCGCCCTGCCCCCAGACGCTGACCGCAGTGTGCTGTCCTCCCCCTCCATCCTGCTGGTGGTCCTGCTGAGCGTGTCCATAAACACCTTCCCTGTCCTGGCCCTCCGGGTCATCTTTCCAGCCCTCAAGAAGCTGCTCGCCAAGGTGAGGTGGGCCTGGGCCTGGGGTCCTCACCCGGTACGTTCCAGGACCCTGGTGGGGGAGCCACGCAGGGTGTAGGAACTGCAAGGTGTCCCAGCCCCTCTCGGCCCTCCAAGACACTGGGCTGGGGGGAAGGGTGGGTGCGGAGCCCTGACACGTGCCCAGTGCCCCCGGGACCCGATTTCCCAAGAAGGGAGACCTCACTTCCCAGACAAAGCAGCAGAGAGCACCCAAAGGCCACCGTGGGTTCCAATGCTGATGCCATTGGACTCTTAAGGTTTTATTTATTTATTTATTTTTATTTTTTGAGAGGGGTCTTGTGCTGTCACCCAGACTGGAGTGCAGTGGCACAATCTCGGCTCGCTGCAACCTCCATCTCCTGGGTTCAAGCAATTCTCCTTCCTCAACTTCCCAAGCAGCTGGGATTACAGGCGCACACCACCACGTCCAGCTGATTTTTGTATTTTTAGTAGAGACGGTGTTTCATTATGTTGGCCAGGCTAGTCTTAAACTCCTGACCTCAAGTGATTCGCCCGCCTCAGCCTCCCAAACTGCTGGGATTATAGGAGTGAGCCACCGCGCCCGGCCTTAATGTTTCTATTTAATTAATTGATTTATTTAGAGATAGCGTCTCACTCTGTTGCCTAGGTGGGAGTGCAGTGGCGTGATCACGGCTCACTGAAGTCTCAACCTCCCAGGCTCAAGTGATCCTCCCGCCTCAGCCTCCCAAGTAGCTGAGGCCACAGGCATGCACCACCATGCCCAGCTAATTTTTTAGCTTTTTTCTAGAGATGGAGTATCATTATGGTGCCCAGGCTGGTTCGAATTCCCGGGCTCACGCAATCCTCCTGCCTCGGCCTCAACATGTTGAGATTTCAGGCATGAGCCACACCGTGCCCAGCCGACACCATCAGATTCTACCCTGAATGATCTAGGGCTTGGGGACTGAGATGACAGGAACAACCTTGAAGTGGTTTAGGCAAAAGGAGGAACTTGGAAACAAGAGTCCGTTGACAGACGAGTGGGTCAACACAGCGTGCTCCATCCGTGCAATGAAACACGCCTGAGCCATGAGAAGGAGTGAGGCTCTGACAAAGGCCACAGCATGGATGCACCTTGAGGACATGTGCTCAAGGCTGGGCGCAGAGGTTCACACCTGTAATCCCAGCACTTTGAGAGGCCGAAGCAGGTGGCTCGCTTGAGCCTGTGAAGTTGAGGCTGCAGTGAGCTATGATTTTGCCACTGCATTCCTATCTGAGCAACAGAGCAAGACCCCACCTCAAAGGAAAAAAAAAAAAAAAAAAGGGAGGGAGACTTGCTAGCCCACGTAACCAAAACATATATGGAAAAGCAGGTTGCAGCTGAGATGGGCCCCAGAATTGACTGGAATGGTGTACCTGCCCTGCCACCTCTGTTCTCCCTGACCAGTTCCTGCCACCTTTACTGCACAGGCTGGACACATGGCTGTTCCAGGCTCACCTCTCCTGGATTTGCCACTAAAGGCCAGCCAAGGCACCTGGTGGCTGGTCTAGAGTTAAGTCTCAGGGAAGGACTCTGATTGGCTGAGCCAGGGTTAGTTTCCAGGGCAAGGCCAATTAATGGGTCTTGAAAAGCAAAGGACTAGAGTCCTCCTTAGAACTCGACACTGGGAGTTGAGGAGTCTAATTGGCTCAACTGGGTAGAGAAGAACCTAGCCAATCCATAGTGGCCAAGGACTTTGAATCCTGCCTCTCCTCCTCGGGGGACAGGTCACCGGAGAGCCGTCAGCCAAGCGTAGAAGTCTGATTCCCCTGCTCTCCCCTTTGCTTTTCAGGAGGAGAAGGTGGAGGAGGGCCCGAGCGAGGAGATTTTCGCCGTGGAGCCCTTGCCTCATTTATACCGCGAGTCTCGCGCCCGGCGTTCCAGCTATGCCTTCTCCCACCGTGAGGGCTACGCAGACCTCATCACTCAGGGCACAATTCTGCGGAGGGGACCAGGGGTCAGCAGTGACATAGCATCTGAATCCATAGACCCATCTGATGAAGAGGCATTTTCAAGCCCAAAGGAGTCGCACTGGCATCTCAGGAAGATGTCCTTCCTGGGGCGGAAGAAGCGCCAGTCACAGGGGCAGGTGTCCTCTCTGGAAGCACAGCACTTCCCTACAGCTAGCTCATCATTTTCTATGGATAGACAATCCGCTCTTTATTCAGAAAACCAACTTGCCCTCCCCAGATACGTGCTTACCGGCACCAACAGGCTATCTGGGTCTTTCCAGGAGCAATTGCCAAGGGTACAGGAGAGGCCACTGTCACCCAAGCAGAGGCCATCTTCTCCTGAGAAGTTGCTGTTGACCAAGGAGAGGTCATATTCTCATCAGGAGAAACCGCCGTTGCACAGAGAAAGCCAACTGTCATCTTCTGAGAGCCAGCCACAGCCTCTGGGGAGCCAGTCATTGCTTTCAGGCCAGCTGACATTGGAGAGCCAGCCAGACTCCTCAGAGGAGAAGTCAGCATTTTTGAAGCCCTCCACACCGTTATGGAAGAGCTGGCAAAAGGAGCCCCTCACCCCCAAGGAGGGGACGGTGCCACTTCCAGACAAGACCCACGAATCTCAGGTGGAGACTCTGCCACCAAGTCTGGCGGAATCGTCCACGTCCACGAGCGAGCAGCCTATGGAGGTGGAGCCCTGGCCTGTGGAGAAGCAGTCGTCATCATCCATGGAGTGGCTGCTGGTGCCCGGGGAGGAGCAGCCATCCTTGCCCCCAGAGGAGCAGTCATTGCCCTCTGCAGAGGGGACCAGGGGTCAGCAGTGACATAGCACCTGAATCCCTAGACCCATCTGATGAAGAAACGTCTTCGAGCCCAAAGGAGTCACACTGGCATCTCAGGAAGATGTCCTTCCTGGGG